CACGACCCCGCGACCTGGCCGAGAAAATGCTAATTTTATTGTCGCCAGTTTTCTCCAAACCTCTGCACTCGCCCTCCTCCTCCCCTTCAGTCAGCTAGCCGGGCTCTTATCTCTACCCCCCTCCCATCCCCCCACCTGATGGCCCCACCCGATTCCCACTTCTCGCCTCACTGGGGCATTTTTCATGTTTAAGGTGAGTACTCTACCACCGGGAATTAGGCCGCCAACTTTTTCGTTTATGTGATACGGCCTTGTGCAAAACGGACGGATGGATACAAAGGGGGAGGCGGTGGTGGAAACGCAGATTGCGGAGCCACCTAAGACTGCGTGCATGAGCCCGCGAATAAATGGGCGTTTACCGGGTTCTCCAGCTATTGTTTTGGTTCAATGAGGGTGTGGAAGAAGGCACAGGGGTAGTGGCGCGGAGTTAAGCACATCAAGAAGCGGTACGGTAAGTTGGAGATGTAGAAGACGCTATATCAAGCTTGCTCATTCGGTCTTACCTTCGCAGGATCTTAAGGCTCACGCCTCTTTTTCACGATTTAGTCATCTGGAGCAAATAAAAGAGTGGTCTAGTGGAACTGATATTTTCTAGGGGGGAAATTTGATTGCCCAATTACAGTCTAGAGATTATTGCATGTATTTTATGTCATTATGGAGAATGTTCAGGCTTCAAAAATCCGTTAAATAGTATTTTGCTCAGAAAAAAATTCTCCTAGGCGTTAGAGCGAGAAATGCTATTGTCAACTACGTTTCTTTTTATTAGCGGAACTTAAAATTGCCAAGAGAAGCGAACATGCAAATTCCAAGAAGTGACTGAGAAGAAGTATACGTGATCGCTGGGACAAGAGTTTTAGTTGCCTGGCGTTCCGAAATCCGTCGTGGAGTAATCCTCAGAGACAATAGCAGAAACTGGTGCTATTGTCTCTGAAGGTGAATCCGCGACGGATTTCGAAACGTCAGGCGAATAAAATTCTTATCCCAGCCATCACATCTACTTCTTCTCAAGAACTTAAAAATGTTCTCATACTTGAAACGCAGATAGTTTACAAACATATGCCTCTCATGTGAAGTCCTTCACAAAGAAGAACGATAGACTGCAAGCGGTTTTTTTACCTAGCACACTTACGGTGCGAATACTGGAAATTGTCAAAGCATACGTGAAAGACGACTCACTCGTTCGGGGGAATCGACATCCTCGTGGTTTTTGTTGGAAGTCAGTAAGTGACCAACCACAGGGGAATGTAGGTCAGCTTGTTGATTTGGTTCATTCTTCAAGTGCTCCTCCCTAGGTGGTGTTGAAGTTCCAGAACCGGTTTCGCTGTATTGCAGTGATCCTCTGACGGTGACTGCATTCAGGGGATTTGTTGGGGGACTGTAGAGGCCAGATGGCACCGCACAGTGATGCACCGTGTGCCTCAGACGGTCATTTCCGCTGGTCTCTCTTTCAAATTTCTCTGGGTTGTCTGTGCTGAAGAGATATTCGGTACCATCGAGGCCAGGAACTATATAAAGCAAAAGAGAATGAATAGCAGCAGTTTTAGTCTCCAAATCAGGGGTGTGGCTTTGTCTAAACAAGCCCATCTTTGCCTGATGGGACAGTTCTTTCGGTTTTTGTGCAAAATAAGTGTTCGTGTCGCTATTCCTTAACCTTTAAATACCCAAACTTTCTTCCCTCAGTCAGTCAGTCCCTGTTTATGCATATGGAGTGCTCTGTATCCATTCTCAAGTGTCACAGTAAATACGTTTGCAAAATGCTTGCATGTTAGGATACTAGCAGACAGTGGCAGTTTTGCAGCTTTGCGAAGGCTTTTTGAGAAAGTTAGGATGCTGACACATGGACCATATTCGAGTTGTCACAAAAATTTCACCATTGAATTGCAGATCGCGGTGTGCCGAATAGGTTCTTCGGGAAATATACAATTTAGTGCGCAAATTTTCGAAACTGGATCCCCAGCTCGTTGTCAGAGGCAAAGTGGAAGTGCAAAAAAAAGCTAACATCGTGAGCGCATGGGAATACTCGACAATGGTGTGACGCTTGTGCTGTGCGTCTACTGGTGCCTACTAGGGCAAGTGCCAGGCCACTATCGATTTTTCCATGCACTCATGGTGTTAGCTGTTTTTGACACTTTCTTGTTAGGGGGTTTTGGCAGATTTGCTAAATTTAGTTGACCCAATTGTCCGACAAAATTTACGTAATAAATTCTATTTCCCGAAGAAACTATTCCATTTCTAAATTGCCTACTGCTTCATTCCAACTATCTCAGGACACGCTTTAGGGGTTTTACTGTTCCTTTTCATAAGAACTAAAGTACTTACGTTAGTCTTCACAAGATGTGTTGAAAAGATATTTTACATTACGCCACTGTGTTTCGGTATACAGTATCGTTTTACGTCGAGAAGTTGGCCTCACTTCTTTGCCGGTGCCGATAGCCACTGGCAAAGTTTGCACCGTAGAAATAACATGCATTTTTATCTGAGACATATTCATTAAGTGAACTACTCAAAGGTCTTGGGCGCATAAACAAGTACTAAAGACTTGTCATGGGATGGTAGACAAATTAACGCACAATGATTGCATTACCGGGAAACTCAAGAATATTGTTGATTAAAGCGCTAGTTGTGGATTTTTCCACTTAATTCCTACGAGCGGCTGTGTGATTTGGTTTCACACTATTTTATTAGAAGTAGGAAATCAGTTTAGCTGGATATCTGCTTGAGGATGCTCAACGGAAGTCTTAACCGTTCTGTTTGCCTACTATGTATAGCACCCGAATCTTCAAATGGTACACGCGGTCATCCTGCTAGTGGTATACTGTCGCACATTAGGATTGGCTAGAGAAGCACATTTCATAGGCGGAAAGTAATTATGAATTCAATGAAATAACTTGATTGATTCACTTTGAAAAATAATGCAATG